AGCAGCAGTAGTAGTAGTGGTGGTTGTCGTAGAACAATAGTACTAAAAATGGCTACCAATGCTAACAAGTCGTTAGATTACACTTTGCTTGTGGAACTGCGTTGGCTTGGATTCCCCACACTGAACAATGTGGGATCTGAAGGGGGTTCTGCTGCCGAGGTTCTCGTTCATCACTATGAACCGCCTGGCCAAGGAGAGCGTTCCTGTTTCTGTGCAAGACATGCAAACACTCTGCCGCCCGATTTGCTTGAGTTTCATGGGATCCTCAGGAGTCGGTCTCTCATATGGAGATGGCGCAGGGCGACACTCTTTTCCTGCCGGAGCAGCATGCAACCTGTGGCTAGCTTGCAAGACGAGTTAAATGTGTCGGAATGCCGCAAGAGTTGGGTTCAGGACAGTGTACAAACAAATCCTGCGTCTGTGTTGACGTTGAGGCATGTACTTCGTGGCCCGAGCCCCGGGCCTTTTGTGACTGGGAGATGGGCTGATTTGATAACTTTTTGAAAATATGTCTGCCGGTTTTTGGAAAGGCCTTTGGTCGGCTGGAGTACGTCCGGGTTCTTGAGAGTGGCGAGATCAAGGCGGAACACACCGCACGCAGAGCTAAAGATCGCTATAAACCAACCGCGGAAGCCAAGAGAGCACTGTCAACGAGGAGTTTGTGGACAAGGGCGAGGACTGGCTTGCGGAGCCTTCGCTGTGGACAGAAAACTGGCTGGGACCTTACGGTGACAATGGTAGCTCTGGGGCAGCCGACGTTCTTCGGCTCTGATCATGAAACTCCACAGCACCAAAAGCTCAGGTATCATGTTGGCGAAGCCAAAGCCTACACCGACTGTGAAGTGCTCCTGATAGACCCGCAGGCAAGATGTTGGTAAGAGGGTGTCTCGTCGGGCTTTCAGAGCATTGGCTGTGTGCTGTCACGTTTACGAGCTGAAAGGCGTTCGAGAACATTCTGAATGTTGCTGCTTCACTGCATGATGTCTTTACAAGGGGTTCTGTCCTGTCTACCCTTGTTTGCCGAAGTTGTCGCCCGGTCTGACCCACACGGTGACGGAGGCAAGTTGTCGGAGCTTGGATGGGAAGCCGAGGTGAGACCGGTCGCCAGCATCGTAGCTCAATATTGCAGGCACGTGGCGGTTGTAGACTGTTCACTGATGGTGACCCTGGCTGGCTGTAACAAGTCCTGTTGCGCATGACTACATTCTGATGAGATCATAAGGTTTTCTATTAAAAGATCAGAAATGTGCGAATTCTTGAAAAAAGATGCTTCCCTGTGCTTTTTGCCTGAAGAGGCTCTTCATGGTCTGGCTCGAGAGCTTGGAAGAGCAGGAGGGCATGCTTACCGACGTCATCCAAGGCCCTTCCCGAAGCAGCGTTGCGATTGCACCACACTGCGTGAAGTCTGGCCGGTCAGATTACTGTCCGGGGTGGCACGATCGTCCGTGCCAGGTGATCAAGTCTCTGACACCATCAGAAGCTTTCTGCCTATGTGGTGTCTGCGCCGGACATTCATGATTTTCCTTTTGTCAGAGTGTCGTTCTTTTGGACCACTCCACACAGGAGTTGCCGTCAAGGCTGGTTGGGGATCCGTCCTATTATGATTGTGAGTATGATGATGATTATTTACTGTTCTATACGACTATGATTATTAACATTGCTTGTACACGACAGGTTGGGGACGTGGTAAACTCTCCGCAACTATCGGCTTCTAGCATCTCCTAGCATTTGGAAGCTTTTCGAACTGCTTTCATGTGTGACTCTCTGGGACCAGGGCTTAAGTGAAAAGGATACTGATTTAGATTTGGTTTGTCATCAGGGATGTGGCAGGTGCGCCATCTTTCGCTGTCCTGTCTCTCTTCTTCTCCTGAGAACTGCTCGGGTTGGATGCAGACAACGCGCCTTCAAGTAGTGTGATTACAGGGGAGGCCAGGGCTCCGGGATAGGATCCCGATCATAGCATCGAAGCGACGCGACCTTCAAGAAGTTTCGGAGAGCGCTATGTTTTCATACTAGATTGGGCAAGCCCGACTGCTTCAGCGGCCCAGGATGATAGAGAGGCACGATGAGGCAGCCCTTCCAGAACCTGGCGAGCAAACGCGACGTAAGTCAATATCGGCAGCCCAGCTGCGATTGAGAAGTCGTTGACTGCTCGGCAATATTTGTCTGGAGCAGCAGTCCCAGTCGCCAGCACTAGCAGTACTTGCTATCATTATTATCATGACAGTTCATCTGTTTGCAGAAGTAGTACAGTAGTACCTCGTCGCTGTGGTGGGTGGTGGTGAGGAGGAGGAGGAGGAGGTCGTCCTAGTAGCAGCAACCAGGCGCAGCAGCAGTAGTGGTAGCAGTAGGCTGGAGCAGGAGAAGGAGAAGGAGCAGGAGGAGCAGGAGGAGCAGGAGGAGCAGGAGGAGGAGGAGGAGGAGGAGGAGGGCGGAGGAGGGCGGAGGAGGCAGAGGCGGAGGTCGAGGAGGCAGAGAAGGAGCAGGAGGAGGAGGAGGAGGGAGAGGAAGAGGAAGAGTGCCAGTCGTCACTGTCGTCGTCGTCGTCGCAGTCTCAGACGCCGTTGACATGGCCATGGGCATCCGCGTGGGTGTGGCCGTGGTTGAATTGTGGCCCACAACAGTGAGGCTGTTAGCATTAGGCGTTTTAGTCTGGCTGTTTCTGGCAGTGAGAAACCCGGACTTTGCCCAGGTGCGCCTCAAGAAAGGCTTTTCAACTGGCTTCCAGTATTTGGCTGGCAACGGCAAGTGACAGCACCACGTGCTTCGTGTCTTCCGCCGGCAGAGATGTTATGGTTGCAGCTGCAGCTCGTATGATGGCTTGTGATGTGCAGCGATGCGAGGTTCGTCTGGGTTTGGGTCTTCGCTTAGGTCGGCGAAAGCTCGCACGGCCAGCGACCTGCTCTTGGGAGGAACAACCCAGGAAACGGAAGAGTCAATCTTCCGAGAGGGGCCCGATTTTCTGGAAGAGAGCAGCACATCAGCAGAAGCACTGAACGGGGCTCCAGTCACCTGAGTCCCGTGAATGTGCCCAGAGGTTTAACAATTTCGCAAAACTTGTCAACATCAACATTTGCAGCGTTTGATTGAAGACAGTGTATACGAGTGCTGGCATTTATGTGCCCCTGCTGTGCGAGGAACAGTACAGCCTCTGTCCTCGCACGGTCTCTTGTCGTAGGACCAATCCATTCCTTTCAGTACTTTTTGCAAGACCTCGCAGGTTTTGCATCAGTGCATGCCAGAACGCCATGGCCGGGGAGACCAGAATCTTTGACGCACAGCCCTGGGAACCAGATGTGTCGCCTTATGGTCCTCAGTCCTTCCAGGAATGGCAAGTGCACGTCCATGTAGGCATGGATTTCGGACTTCCCGGTTGTTTCTCACCACCTAGGGGCACCTCAAGTTCTTGACAACGTGTGATGAAGTGCAGCAATCATGTTTGTTAACAGGTCAGGTAAGGGTGTGGTGCAATCCTTCTTGTTGGGTCGGTACTCAAGTGCGCCCTGATTCAAGGCTCTTATCATTGCATATGGGTCATTCCAGGGTTGGAGCTCTGACTGCAGCAAACCATCTCTTGTCATTTGACGAGTCAGGCACCCGATACTGTGCAGATCAGTTCGCTCCAACTTAACACAACGACTTTCCTGGCAATTGCTTGGAAGTCTGCCGTTTCACGCGTCGAACAGTGTTCGATCGGTGCGATCCCTGCGCTGATTGTGTGCAGGATCCACAAATCGCAGAAGAGTCCTCGTTGCAGTCCATCTCACAGAGTGAGATTCGATCTCTCAGCTCTCACGCCCCTGAAATGCCATTCAAAGGCGGCTTTCAAGCGCCGTCTCTTGGCGCAAGGGGGTATGCCGGCCTGTAACTCCAAAAGATGCCTCCAAAAAGTCCGCGGTCGGATCTCATTCTGCGAATGGGCTTGTATGATTAGTACATGTCTACAGCTATGGCTACTATTAGTCTTACCATGATCAGGATGATGACGATGGTGATGATGATGATCAAGATGGGTGCTTTGCGATTTTTGCTACCAGTATTGTGGCTCGGCGTGAAGTGCTGAGATGTGACTTGGGCACATGTTCTTCTGTGTCGGCCCTCGACAATCGGTTCAAAAGCCAAGAAGCATGCTGCCCAGTGCCGTCCTCACGCAAACTTATCACCGCACGTACCGCACTCAATACAGAAACCCTGAGGGTTTATGGAGACTGCAAAGACATAAAGTCCATGCCAAGCTCTGCCATGAAGCTCCACACAGTTGGCTTCTGCGGTGTGGACGACTCGGTGGACCTGCGCCTAGGCCGAGAGTTGAAGACCTGCAAAAGCAGAGAGCGGAAGCTCTAAACCCTAAACCTTAAACCCTAAACGCTAAATCCTAAACCCTAAACCTACCCAACCGCTCAGCTCGGGCCTTGCTCTGATGCCTTGGGCCCAACCAAGCCGAGGGCAGAACTGGCAAGATTGGACCAGGCTTTTCCTGGACATTGGAGCCCGGGATGCAGTGATCAAATTATGCTCTGAGAGAGAGTGAGAGAGAGAGAGAGAGAGAGAGAGAGAAAGCGACAGAGAGAGAGAGAGAGAGGGAGCTCTCTCCCCCTTGCCCCTAGCCCTGACGAAAGAAAAGAGAGAGAGAGAGAGAGGGGCGCACAAGCGCGCGATGTAGGGGGGCTTGCTCCCCCGCATCATAGCCCTGGCGAAAGAAAGAGAGCTTCTATGAGAAGCTCGTGCGTAGGATTTTCAATTATCAGGATTGAGTGGGGTGTACTTTTGCGACCAGATCGACAAGGAGAACCGCGCTATGCTTCGCCAGCACTGCTGAAGCGGCTGGGCATGCTGGCGCGAGGCCGCCTGGCATACCTCAGAGCAGGGGTGGGGCTTGCTAAAGCTAGGATGACGAAGATGGAAGATGGCTCGGCATTCGGGCCCGTCGCTCTCTGATCAGGTGAGGATCCGCAGCTTCCAGGGGCGAAGCTTCGCTTGGCAGCCCATCTTTGCGGGCAGGATTGCCTCAGGCTGCGTAGAGCTTTTGCAGATTTTCGAGCATGTGTAAGGACAACAGCCGACTTGAGGAAAGTCATATTCTGCCAGGGCACTCGCTGGTGACGTCGGCCACATCTCGGGGCTGCATGCACTTCTGGGCTTCGGGCGAGCACAGCTCAATCCGACTAAGGCGGGCTTTGCCTTCCGAAAGAGAGCACCGCACAGCCACGCATGGGTTTTCGTCAAGACATGGAAAAGCCTTCGTACCTCTTGGACTCTGTCAGGCAAACCTGGCATCTGACTGGCAACCAGAGGGCGCCGCCCGTGGTCTCCGCACTCTGGCCTCTGCACTGCCAAGCGTGGAGTTCATTCTTCAGGTGAACGATGCAGCCTGGCAATCAAGAGTTCCAAAGGTTTCATACTGGTGGCCAGAAGTGGGTTACACTTCACACTCTGCACTATCTGCGGGGTCCAGAATGCAAAATTTCATGTCCAGGCAGTGTGAAATCTAGAAAAAGCGTGTGTCGATGCTGACTTCTTCCAAATTGAGATGTAGATGCCCTCAGAAAAGCTTGCAGCTTCAGTCTGTGTGAGTTGATCTTGCTCCCTGCGTGAGAAGCCAAAAGGTAGCACCAGTGAAAAAATGCAGCATCTCGCCTAAGATGTCATGGCCTGCTGTCCTTGGCAATGCTCCAACCGAGGAGTTAACAGATGAGTATGTCAGTGTTACTGATACCGGTTACGGCTTGAATCGTTACACATCCGTCGCCGTGACCGCAAATGTTGTGTCAGCTGAAAAAAGTCAACAGCCGAGTCCGCCTGAGTCTGTGATGTACAGAATTGGTGCAGAATCACGAATGCGAGATCGTGTGTGAATGTGAGGAAAGAGCGACTTCTCTTGTCTTCAGGAAACACAGGAGCTCTTCAAGTCCCTCTTCGAGTCAACGGAGCCTCCACCGCCTTCGCCTTAATGTCAGGTCTTGGGCTGATTCCTGTCATTCTAGTCCAGCTGCTTGAGGGTTGTATATGAAAAGGGACAACAACTTGAGGGGTTCCGAGGCAAAGGTACGGGAGATGAGATGAACGCTACCAGGGCAACATCACGTGCGAAGCGACTTGAGTATTTGGGATGACACCAGGAATGCTGTGTGTTTCAGGTTTGTGCTTTAAGACGTAAACTTCACGTACGTCTTCCGTGCATTATACACTTGTTCGGAGGCCTGTATCGAATAGCTTATGTTTCAGGGAAGGTGCAAGAGTGTCGGGAATCGAACTTAGTGGCTGAGGCTTGACGGCCAGGTCTCATGCGGGATTTATGGGCGCTTCTGCACTAGAGGCCCAACTTGGCAGTGTTGCTCGATGCCTCCTGCGGCCTGGGCGTGGCGCCGGGCCGCTGGTCTGCGCCACCGAAAGGCACCCATGCTTATGTGAACCTGTGAAGATACTGGTAGCCAACGTCATCCCACAGCCATCGTAGTCAACAAAGGTGGCAGTGACAGCTCAGCAGCAGTAGGAGCAATAGTTGTAGTTGTGGTAGTAGTAGTAGTAGTAGCAGCAGCAGCAGCAGCAGCAGTAGTACTGGTAGTGGTAGTGGCAGTGGTAGTGGTAGTGGTAGTAGTCGTAGTCGTAGTCGTAGTCGTAGTAGTAGTAGTAGTAGTCGTAGTAGTCGTGGTGGTCGTGGTAGTCGTCGTAGTCGTAGTAGTCGTAGTAGTACTAGCAGTAGTAC